GAATTATCATGCAAACCACAAAAGAACATGAAGAGAGAGAGAGGAGAATAGGTTTCTTGGTTTTGTAGTGATTTCATATTTTTTAGAGTTATTTAACTGTCAAAGAAATTAGCTATTAAAAAGGCATATTAGGTCAGTGAGAGCAGCCCTCATGGGCCAGGCTGTAATTGTTTTTTATGATAAACATAATTTCAAGTGCTTTCTCTAGTCAGGGTTTAAATTCTGCAAATGAAAAGGCAGGCACCCCCACCCTCAAGGAAGAATTCCACAAATCATCCCATATCCCTGTCTCACACAATTATCTGAACACCCATTTTGCAAATTAGGATGTGTAATTGTAAGGATGGGAAGTCATTTTGTAGTGGCAAAGTGTGCATAATATCACTCAGGGCACAAACTTTACCTGTTGCCCTTCCTTCTCATAACAACACAATATAAATTCTGTGCAAATGATATTAAAACAGCGCAACAAAAGTTATGACAATGACAGCAGGACTATCACTCAATTGACATCATGTCAAGGGGCTGGATTTTTGGCCTGGAGCAACTACATCTATTTTCCTGTGTATACCTGTTCAGTATGGCTTTACTGAGTGACTCATGGAGTCATGAAATGTAAGGCATGTGACATGTGTCAATCACCTCATTAACCAATGCACATAGCTCTTTACTGTGGCAGGCAGACAGGGAGAGCGGGTAAGGCTCCAGAGCTGGGTGCTCAGGCACGCTCTCTCTTCCTGCTTCTGGGCAAAACTTGAGGATCTTTCAATTTTGTGTGGGATTTCTAGTCTTGCAGCAATCCAGTCAGAGCTATTGCATGGCAGCTGCCCTCTCCCATCCTTTCTCTCCAAGCTGTCTGTGTATCCCAAACGTTTTCACTGCATAACAAGTTTGATTTTACAACACTTGATCTTGTCAATCCAACCTTTTCAGGGTGCATCAAGCTGTTCATTAATGTATGAACAACAAAAGCACTACACGCTATTAGAGTAGGTGCATATCTTAGGGAAGCCTCTTGTGGATTTTGCAAGCACTCGCATAGCACCTGCACAGCACATTGCAGCCAGACTGACTGTTCTGGGACACACAGCGTGGTCAGTACGGTACAGTCAATCTACAGAGCATCTTCTTTTTGCTCTTGAAATAAGTAGATGTTTATCGCTCTGTGCTCTCTCACAGAATGGTTGTTGGGTGTGATGCTTTCTGGAAGACAGCAGAGATGCGTTGTGTCCAAATTCCTGGTGGAAATATTGCAGCCCAGCAGAATTTCAAAGTTGGCATCACACTGTTAAACCACAGTATGAGTACCTGCTCTGGGGGAGGAAAGCAGCTCGATGTTTGGATGCACCTATGTCTCTGAGCTGATCCATTTGAGCCATGTTAGCTTGAAGGCTGCATAAGGTATTAGGAAAACTTAGACCTTCTAGCAAAGGCCATCACACTTCATCCACTTCTATAGCAAAGGCAGCAGTCCACACCTGGCTGCAGTGTGTCTACCAAAAATGTATCTGATGATGTCAGGAGGCAGAGAAATCCTTACTTCCTTTGCCTTCTTGTTTTATCATCGTGCTTGTTTTTCAAACTTTGAAAAAGTTTTGATCATTGATGATAAAAGTCTGTTTAAACCAGGATGTTATGGTCTCTAGCCAGTATGCTCCCTATCACCAAGATGGATAAAAAAAGTCTCCACTGTATCCTTACACCGCAATAGTTCACAGTCTGTCTAGGTGACCTCAGCCAAGAGGACTGATTTGGTTTACAGAATTGTTAATCTTCTTAAAATTTTGAGGCAGGTCAAGATGCCATGCTGCTTGTAACTCAAATAGATCTTAATTTTAGCATTCTGCTTTCCTTAATGACTCATTAGCTGGGCAAAAACTGAAGGAAATCCACAGCAGTGGATGGAAAGTGAGATGCAGTTGGATCATCTGCCAGACAATTGTAAAGGGAGCGCTGGATGTTTTCGCATACTTCTTTGAGAAATAAGTTTACAAGGAAAACTTTCAAGAATGTGGATATGTTCACCAAGAAACAGTTTGTACAAAGACAGGCTTTTATTCTGCAGTACTTATGCACATGTTTAACTCAAAATGGAATGATTCAAGGGCTCAAAATCAGGCCCACGTGCACAAGCCTTTGCAGGCAGCAGGACTGTGCAGATGGCACATATACAGCACATACACAGTATTTTACAGGATCAGTGTTACACAGATCACAACAGTTCATTTCCAAACACCGCATCTAGACAGACTTGAAAATTCTGATACTCTCTCTAGTTTATACACTAATTATCTGATACCGGGTAAGCACTGTGTCTGGCCCTGTAGGTATACTTCTGATCTCTATTAGACATTAAAATTCTTTATAAAAAGAATATGTAGTGGGAAAAACGAACTTCAGAAAAGATATCTGAAAGAATTTTTGTTGGGTGCAAGAAAGGGTTTTAGGCAGCTTCCGTTTGCTGTATTGTTTCCAAAAACAATGAAACCCTTTCAAAGTTTATGCTTCTCTTGACATTTCTCAGATACTAAAGTAGGGAAAGGCAAGACTGGGAGACACAAAGGTACTTAAGTGCTTATTGTTTAAGTTAGGGTTAGTCCACCAAATGCTTCAAGCATCTGGGCATGCATGTCCCGCTCTCTTTCACAAGACCTTTGTGGCAGAATAGAGACTAGATATCAAATTTTTTTGATTTTAAATTGCCTTACAGGCCAGCCTAACTTTCATGCCTGGCTAATGCCAAATTTTCCTGGGTTTAATGGACTTTGCTAAAGATCTGAAGTTGTCACTCAAGACAAAAATAATTTCAGCAGGGGAATGGGACCCAACTACATTTCTGAGGATGTCTAGTCACGTCTACTTGCCATTGCCGATAAAAAATAAATGAATGGATGCTATTATTGAAATCTGAGTATTTGCCAATGTTCCAGTGTTAAAAGTAAGGAGTAACACAGCCAAAATCTTTCCCTTATATGTGATTCAAACTTGTCCGCTACCATCTTTGCCAATGGGTTTGAGTTTTGAACCAGGCACTTTAACAGCAAATGACTCAAAGTGATCTTACTGGAGCTGAAGAGTGAACTCTCCTGTGCTTGTGGCTTAATAACTCTGATCCTCTTCTGCTTCTTTTAAAAATTCTTATTTCAGATAACATTACAAGGGAGTTCAGCAAGAAATAAAAAGCCATTTACAGCATTCACATTGTTTACTTAAATATTAGCATTACATTCATATAAGATGATGCAAACTAACCTGTTCAGCTACACTTTTTCCCTTGTTTAAACAGCACCACGCTGCAGTATGTGGGATTCAGACATGGCACAGCAAGTACCTCCACTAGAGCAAACTGTTTTCTCGTGTTGAGATGCCATTTCTAGTACACTAGAGACAACCCTCCTCCATTTATTCCTCTCCAAGCATTTTGTATGGCTGCCTGTGACTGTAACATTTGGATGCATTCCATACTGAATTGAATGGCAGTAGCAGAGTCCACAGAGCGCCCGTCTGCTGAAGGCTTCATTGCCTGAGGAAAAGATCCTTTTGGAAACTCATGGAGGGGAAAGGATGGAGGAGAATGTTACTGTGGATGGGGTTTTGTTTACAGTGGCAAAGTCTGATCTGAGAAACTTTTCAAAGTTCTCAAAGACAGTCAGATCTAGGTTCAATTAGTCTCCTTTAAGAGATGTAAATTACTAATTGCATTGTGCCCTTTCTAGCCAGTCAGTTGACTAAATTACACAACGCTTCATTTTGCAAAAATACAAAGTATTCCCAGACAAAGCAGATCACAGTTCTCAAGCAGCTGATTTAAAATTGTTTTGCCGGAAGAAACCTTGAAAACAACATAGCACTCCAAATCTGCCTAGAAATTTCATAGGGTAACAGCGTTCTGTTCCCGTAAAACACCCAAATCCTTCTATACCATCATGTTTCACAGTAGGAGTTATATAACGCTCGACACTTAATGAACCTTTATTGACGTCCGTACGACTACTCATGTTAAAGCTCTTCTGTGCGCATTTAAAAGCTAAGGAGCACACGGGCAAGGAAAACTGCAGCGATGCCGTGATGCAAAAGAGAGGTTCATAGCCCAGCTCTCCGAGCCTGCAGATTACAGATTTGCCTCTGTCCTAATTATACACTCCATCTCCGCGCATTAGCATGGAGCCCAGAAAACCTGACTCATCATTCCTAACAATCCTGGCGACCTGAGGCAAATACACGCACACACACACACACACACACACGGAGACACACACACTCTCGCATGCGTGCTCTCAACTTCCCCTAGAGCAAACACCTCATGCTGCTCTGCCTGGCAGCAGGGCAGTCATGTCCTTGCATGTGCAGCCCCGGGAGCGCAGCCCGCCCCGCGCACAGGCAGACCCCGCCACGGGGAGGGGACACCCGGCAGGAGGAGGGTGGCGATGGCCGGGCACTGGATCTGGCCCCGGGGCCGGTAGGCCAGCAGGCAGGCGAGGCAGGAGGCTGACCGCAGGCTGGGGATCCCTGGGGACCCTCCCGGAGGCAGCGGGAGCGGGAGAGGCACCGGGAGCGCTGGGACCAGCCAGCGGGAAACCGAGGCCGCCGCCGAGCCCCCTGCCCTGGGGGCGGGGCCTCCGCCGCCTCGTTTGCATAGCGCTCACCCTATTGGCCGGGGGAAGGCACGCGCCGAGGCACCGGCCCCGCCCCGCTCTCCCCAAGGCTGCCCAGAGACGCGGCCGGCCCCGCCCCTCGGCAGCGGAGTCCCCGCCCATGTCCCCGCCCCCTCTCGCAGGCTGCCCGGAGATGGGAGCCGGGCAGGGCGCTGCTCATTGGCCGGCGGTGGGCGGCCCGTCGTGATTGGCCGGCGGCGTCGGCGCTGGGCGGGGCGGGCGCTGCGGATTGGCGGGGCCCGCGGGGGTGTGCGCGGGGGGCGGCGGCGCGGAGCGGGCGCTGGGGCCGCGGCCGGGGATGGGGGCGGCGGGCGGCGCGGGCAGCTGAGCGCGGCGGACACGGAGCGTCCTGCGCCTCCCGTCCCGCCCGGCCTCACCGCCACCATGAACCGCCTCGGCTCCGGGCCGGTGGGCAGCGCCGCCGCCGCTGCCGCCGGGCAGTACCGGGTGTGCGGCAACTGCCGGAAGGTGCCGAGACAGGTACCGGAGGGCGCCCGCTGAGAGGCAGCGGGAGCTGCGGGGGCTGCGGGAGAGGCTTCCAGGAGCGATCGGGGGAGCGGGAGGCGGTGGGACAGAGACTTGGCTGGGGCCGGGGGGGAGGGTGTACACGGACGGCGACAGTGGCGTGAGGAGAAATGGGCCGTAGGGCATCAGTGGGGCGGGGGGATGGAGGAGGGCAGTGGGGGAGCTGGGGGGCAGTGGGCTGGGGGCTCTGCCGGGAGGTGGGTGCCTGCGGAGCGCAGGGTGGGGGGCAGCGGAGGGGCGAGGGGGATGTAGCCCCAGGGGGTGCCAAGGGGTGCCAGGTCGGGACCCCCATCGCCTCCGTCCGCCTCGGGACGGCTGTCACCGGCCCCTGCCCCGGGCTGCCCCCCCACCCCATCCCGGGGGGTTGGAGGGCGCCCAGCCTTTCTGAAGTCTGGAGTTGTGTGGAGGGGGGTGACTTGGAGCCCATCCGCGCTTGGAAAGTTTATTATCCACGTATTTCAACGGTGAAATTCGCCACCGCGACCTGCGTCAAGTGCGGGGGGCTACGAGCTTAGAGCTTTAAAACACATAAAGGCACCGAAGAACCCCCCGCCCCCCAGTCCGCTAAGCCCCATCCATCCCTGCAGTGCCCAGCCGCTTCCCTGCGGACCCCCCGTGCCCCCGGAGGGGTGGGATGGCTGCACCCTCTGCTCCCGACATCTGCCTCACGGAGAGCATTAGTGGAGGTGCTTTTTGTTTGTCCAGTGCAAATGAATTAAAATTGCTGAGCTGTTCAAACGCGTCGAGTCCCCGAGCGCCCAAGATGAACGCGATGCCGGTTTTGGTTTTATTTTAATTCAATCTCTCCCAACACATTTTGCTCCAGGTTGGTTCTTGCAATTGCTAAGAAAGCCTGTAAGTCAATGAGCTCAAATATTTGCGCTCTTTGTCCAAAAAGTGTTTTTCTTCCTCTGTGGGTCAGGCCAAGTGCCAATCAAAGTTGTTTTTCAAGCCTCTCTTCCCTGCAGTAGGACTGCTTTTTTCTTTCTTCCTTTTTTTTTTTTTTTTTTTTTCTGTAAGGGTTTGGTTTTTGGAAAAGGAGGTGTGTATTTAGGGGAGGGGGAGGAGGAACGTTAAAAATCGGTGGAAGAGAGAAGCAGATCTTAAAAATCATGTTTCTTGAATATTTTAATGGAAACAAAATCTTATTAAATGTGCATGCTTGGTATGTGCAGTTATTTTTTCCATAAACTCTTGGATCATATTACAGTTGATACTTGGTGCTCAGCTCTTAGCTCAGCTTGCAAGAAATGTAATGGATCAGAGAAGCAGACATCAGCAGAGTCTGATTTTTAACCATTTCGTTGCAGGATCGAATCCCTTCTTGGCTTTAGCTTGCTGCTGTTACAGCTTTAAGAAAAACAAGTACTTAAAAGAGAGAAGTTCTGCGGGGTTAAAGCCTGAAACAGCTTCAGACTTGACATATGTCTAAAGACATACAAATTAACCGGTGCCAAATATGTCTGTGGAGAAAGCAGGGAGGGAGCTTGCTTTGTTCTGCCAAATAATCAAAATGTTTTGTTGACAAATAAAGTGGTGTTTGGCAGCACTTGTAGATCTAAAATTATATTTAAATTACTGAATTTTTTTTGAAGCTGTAATCCCATCCTGCTGGGTAGGACTTTTTTTATATACCTCTTTAATATCAGTGGGAGGTGGGAGGGGGGTACAGGGCTAGATGGCCCTTTTCTGGTAACAGGAAACTTGTATGGATTTGATTTTTTTTAATTTTTTTTTTATTTTAAAGTAATTTAGGGATGATGGTGAAACATAGGTACCCAGCTGGGTCTGTTGAGGAAGGCAGCTTAGCGCTGTCTTGCTTTGTCTATGGTCATTTCAACCACTCTCATTGCAAAACTGAGGAAAGAATCAAGAAACTGAGTGACAGCCTATAAAAACCTCTTGAAACATAGTTGTTCTGTGCTTTCAGTGGTTGTATTGGGACATTGTTGCATCTGTGTTGTAGGCTGAACAATAAACATAGAAGTACAAAGCTTCTGACTACATCTGTAATTATTTAAAAGTTGGTATAATAAAAATCACTGTAAATGTTAACCTTTTGCACTTCATTGGCAAGCATGCAAGTAGAAAACATGAGGAAAAAAAAAAAAAAAAAAAAAAAAAAAAAAAAAAAAAAAAAAAAAAAAAGAAAAGGCTTGATGGAAGCGAGATGCAAATTTGACCTGAGTCTCAGAGTAATAATCTTCAGATGAGTGCTGCCTCATCTGTTCTTTTGATGGTGTTGGGGTTTTTTTTAATGCTCATGTGATAGCATACTGGAAAAAAATGATTGGCCTTGAAATGTGTTGAATCTCTTCTGCCCTCCTCAGTCTTAAGTCTTTATTTGAAGCCACTTGAACACTCACAGTTTAGGTAGTGCTGTTGTCAAAATTACAAGGAGCAAGGTAAGCTTTCTACTCAGTGGCATGTAATGAAATTTGAAATAATCTCCAAGTTTTTGGATTCTCATGTGTGAAAGTAAGTTTCCCTTTCATCAGGGAAACAGGAAAAGCTGAATGCAGCACTTTAGGTTTCAGCCAATTTCAAACTAATCAAAGTTGTGTTTTATTCTGGAAAGTTCTATCAGGGTAGCACTAAGAGTATTGCTAAGGATTCAAGGGTTAAATTTGCCTATGAAGAAGGTTTTTCATATTAAAAAGATACAATTTCCGGTTGGGTTTATTGTTACAGGACACTTTAGATAACCAGATCTACTTGCAGAACAATTGCTGCTAATCAGAAGGGCTTAGACAGTCATAGATACAAGAGCTACATCATTATTTGATTTAGGGGGGAGGGGGGGAAGTGCTTAAAATGGCATGTGAGTTCTGTTCCTGTGAATTTCCTAGAGGTGGCTGCGAGTTGCTGCCATTGCAGTAACCAGGACAGCTCCAGCTCTTCCATTTGAAAATGCAGTATGTAAGGGAGTTCCTGGGCAGGGGAGAGCTCCTGGGTGTAACCCTGGAGGGGATCTGGAGCCTTATGGGAACCCAAGGTTCTCCTGCCTAAATAAAGTCAATAACCCAAGCAAGTGAGAAGAAAACATATAGGACGGGCTCAGTATTTCTTTGGACAATTAACTGCTTCAGAAAGGCTTTTAGGAATAAGCATAAAGTCTTCGGAGATGGAAAAATCCTGATATGCCAGGAAGTGTAGGAACAGGGAGGGTTTGCCAGCTGTTCCAGCTTAGTTGCAAATTGCAAAGCATGTGAAGTAAAAGGTTCTTTTTCATGTACATACAGGTCGGTAGGACAGAAAAGAAAATAAGTATAAGCATGGTTCCTGGATTAAATATTTGGTTTGTGTTAGATTTCAGTGAAGGAGCTAGAAGGGCAATGGCAAAATGGGTGATGGGGGCATGCAGTTTCAAAAAGGCAAACTGCATTGTTGTCAAGGTGGAAATTAACCTGGCTTAGGTGACCCTCCTGGCTTGAGCCAGTCTCTATGCTGGAGTCCTCATAAAGGTATAAGAAATCTAGCATCTGTTGCTGGCTTTTATAGACCTACCCAATCAGAGTGATCCTGAGTGAGAGGGAGAATACCCATCAATATGATGGAGAAAATTTTCAGTTCTTCTCATCCTCCCATGCCAGTCTCCTTCTTTAGTACAAGTCTCAATACTGTACAAAGGTACTAAAGCAAATATGAAAAAATATATATGACAGGATACCACCAAAAGTAGGTTACGCTAGGCTAATGTAGGGGTCTTTTGTTAATAAGACAGATGCTAGAGTGTCCTGAAAGCTTTGCATGGACTAAAACTAGACTTCTTTCATTAAATATCTAAAGTAACATCAAAGGTTGAACTCATCACTGCAAGTCAGCTCAAATTAAACTCTGGGATTCACTAACACCAAATGTTCTATACACCAAAAGGTTTAACTGGGTTTGAAAAATATTTGGGCAAATTAATAACAGAAAAATTAAATGAGACCTGTAAATATGAAATAGCAGCACCCCTCAGTATAGTTTCTGTATGCTTTCCTGGCTCTTATGCGTCTGCTATTGCCCCCTCGTAGGGACAGGTTACTGGGCAATAGGGACCTTTGATCTGACACATTTTGTATGGTTTTCTGTTCCTGTTAATTACAGTGATTGGGAACTGATGAGAATGATGATGGGCTGTGCTGAAAGGAGAAGTCACTGTGCTGAGAGGAGAATGCCAGGGAGTTTTCAAAGGACTGCTTGAAACTAATCTGCTTTAACCCTGTTTGGATCGCGACGAGAGTGTGACTATTCCTAAAAGACATACACACAGCAGAAGTGGTAAATGTTATTTGTGCAGGGAGAGAGGGACATTTCATGGAAAGCTGGAATACCTTGAGCACTGGCATAGTTAAACTGGTGTGAAATCCAGTAGTGTGAAATGTGAGAATTACAGATTTAGCTGTTTGGTACTCGTAACTTTTAATAAGAGCAGCTCCTTGGAAGGAGCAAGGAGAAGGATGTTGGTGCAGGAGGACCAGCAGCTTACTGTCACCCTGCAGGGCTGTGGTGTGGGATAGCAGGGAAGCTGGGATGGATGGACCTTTATTAAACAGGCACAGAGGTCAGCTGGCTGGGTGCTGGAAGAAACAGAGTACTGGTTTTGTAGAAGGAGACTGAAAGTTTGTTTTTCTAATCCAGCAAAAACAAAAGCTGAGAGGGGTTATGGTCCATGTCTATAAATTCATCTGATGGTGAGAGCCTGTGAGGAGAAACTAGCTCAGGAGTAGATGGAAGTAAAATGGTTATTAATACATTTAGGCTGGAAAATTGAAGTGTCCAGAGATGAGGTTCTGGAAGAGTTTGTTCTGGGTCTGTTGCAGCCAAAAAAAGCACCTACTTTTAAGATAGAAAAATGAGTGAACGTCATTAAATGATGCAGTGCTTACAATAGCACTAGCCTAGGCTCAGGGAGTTGAGGTCATATCCAAAAAAAAAAAAAAAAAAAAAAAAAAAAAAAAAAAAAAAGA